CAATAAAATAAATGGGGGAAAAAAAAAAAAAAGAAAAAGAAAAAAATAAAAAATAAAATAAAATTTGGGGTTGTCTTCTAAATGGATTGTATTGTAAACTATTGGTGATCGGAAGAATCATCTTCCAAAATTGTGTTTCTGAAATACAAGCATTTAACACCAAAGCAAACAAACATCATTCTTGGAACAGACGAAGTGAGAAGAGAAAAAAATGAATAAATGCTGATTCAGATTTTTTGCTTGCTTCTGTCTTCTGCTGTGTTTTTCATGCTCTTCATTCCTTAACATTACCCTTTTTATTATAATTTGTCTCAGCTGCTAAGCTTTACTGATTACTGTTACTATACTTCATGTCTTCTAACTTATTGCATTGAAATGGGAAATAAAATCACCTTGTACAATCATGGCAGAGGGAAAAAAACCAAAACCCAAAAAACAATAACAAAGAAATGAATCACTGGCTTAGAAAACTGTAGATCAACCCAGCCTCTGCTGAAATAGCTCCAGAAAATATAACCCTGTGGAATATTTCACCAAAAAAATAAATAGAAGTTATGTTTAGAAACAATACTAAATGTTCTACTTGCCCAACCTCCTCCATCTGACCTTGAATCAAACTTAATCATAAATCCCCTTCATCTTTTAATATAAATAAATTGCATTGTTTCAGAAAAGGAGAAGGAAAATTGGGAAGGGGGTGGTGCTACAGACGACTTTTCATTTTACTAACAAAGGTAGTTTTTACAGTTTCGAGATCTCCTTTTCTGTGGTTGTTGAGACAGGATCCCACTCTGTTGCACCAGCTAAAGTGCAGTGGCATAATCACCGCTCACTGCAGCCTTGATCTCCTGAGCTCAAGTTATCCTCCCACTTCTGCTTGATACTACAGATGTGCGCCACCATGCCTGACTAATTTTTTTTTCTTTTTATGGTAAAGACAGAGTCTGACTATGTTGCCAGGGCTAATCTCAAACTCCTGAGCTCAAGTGATACCAGGGCTAGTCACCTCTCCTTCTCCTGCCTTCACCTGTCAAAGTGCTGGGATTGCAGGTGTGAGCCACCATGCCTGGCTGAGTTTTAACGTCTTCTATCGAACAAAAGCCCTAAATCCTATGCTCCTCTCCCAAAGTTAGAAATACCAATTTTATTTAAGTTTTAATAAATCTATCTTCTTGTGAGAGAGTAAGCTAACAAAAATTATGCTTATATTTTGAAAGGAATAAGAATTTCTTTTTGAAAACTTGGTCCTACATTGGGATATGGCAGGTACCACAAAAAATGAATACAGTATATCGCTGCATTAGTAAAGAAAAGAAATGCAATGTATAGTGCCCTCTACTGAACAGCTTCAGATAAACAGCCAAAAAGGAAATTGCCACCAAAATTTACTGGAAATCATTTAAGAAAAAAATCATTAAGAATCTACTTATAAAAACTGGCTAATTACCTTAAAGCATTTCCAAAATAAGGTACGGTATAACTGTCAATTATAAACAGCAGTGATTACTGACATATTTTTTAAAATTAAAAGGCATAAAATTGAGGTATGTTTTTTACATTTGAATGTTGTGGCTTTCCTGTTTAAAGAATTAATTTTTACTTCATGTTATCACTAAAGCAGAAGAAGAGCCATACCAATCTTGGGAGTGCCATGCCAGTAACTGAGCACACAAGTTTGACTGTTTGTCCATAGTGGATATAGCCATCTCGGACTGTGAATTCTTCTCCTTCTGATTCATCGTCATCCACTACAGTGGGTGGAAAAAGAAATCAAATTGTCATCTTTTTGAATTCATTTTATGATGAGGCAAATGACAAAACTTAATCTATCCATGTATCTCATTATCAAAAGAATTTAACAATTTCACACTAAAAACATTAAATGCACATGTTTATACTCACAGAGATGAATGTAAAATGCTCCCCACTGCTGTGAACTGGCATGAAAATTACCTCCTTCTACATGCAAGTATCTGGTACTAACTGTCTGGGATCGTAGTCGATTAAACAGAGCCACCTTTGTTCCTGAGGCAATGCATACTGCAAGAAAAAAACAGCTCTTATTTATGTGATTGGAGCAGAAGGTAGGGAAGGAGCACAAGAAGGAACTTCTGCTTGGCAGTTTATAATTATTCTTTATTACCATTTAACAGTTTGACAAATATTTTCACCTTCCAAGACAGTATAGATAATACCAAAAATGAAATCAAAGTTAACTGTTATTAATAATATCCAGCTGATGATATCAAACATCCATAAAAATAGTTTTAAAGGGAAAACTACACAGAATGTTTAATGTGGTGCTGATTATTAAAGAAAAAATTTTTAAAATAATAAATGTTAGTAGAAATTTAAATGACCTATTTAAATGATGTGTTTCTAAATATACTGATAAGAAAATATCACTGAATGGAAAAGCACACTATACAATACTCCGTATACCGTGGTTCCATTAGGCAAATGTATATATTTTTAATATATGTTTGCATCTGCTTCCACATAATACATGCATAGAAAAGGGACTAGAAGGATGTCTATCAAAGTTGATGACAAATGCCTCTGCATATTGTGATTTTAGAAAATCCTGCTTTCTTCTATATACCTTAAAGTGCTGTATGAAATTTCTTGGAAATAAATCTATGTAAGCAGAAAAATATTCTGAATGTGAAATATGTTCTCAGCCATCAAGAAACTAATATTTGGTACAAACACAAAGTTAAAGCAGTTAATAAAACTGTGTTATTTGAAATGCAGGAGCACACCACCACCTGTAAAGTAGGCTTTGCTTTTCAGCAAGAAAACAAGAACCAAAGGACAACAAACTTAAATCTGATCAAGATTCTAGACAAAGATTCTCTCCTTGACCAAACTTTTAAGCAGGCTGCCTGAGCATTCAACTAGTATTCGTCTTTTAGCCCTGCCATCAGTCTGTTTAGCGCAGTTGTAGCAAGAATCTTCCTAAATTATCCCCTACTCTGAATCTATGATCACTTTAGCAGAAATCCTAAGTCAGGTCAGCAAGAAACGCCCTACTTGTGATGTCTCCTTTTACTAAGTTTCCATCCATTGACCCTCTAACTCTGCTCCTTGGCTATACTTCCCCAATTGTCTGTTGTATTTTGAAATGGAACTTGGTTCTACACTAAGTCTTCTTTCCCCTATTGCAACAGTACTGAATGAAATCTGTCTTTCCAAATAGCACCCCCACTTTATTTCTTTTTGACTCTACCATTATAGAAAATACGTTAATACCAAATAAATGAAATTGGCAAAATCCAGTATGTGAAAATCTCTAGTGGCCAAATGTCTCAACTTACTTGAATAAATTGCAAGAGCTGGGGGGTGTCCATAAAGAATACTCAAGGATGTGTCACAGTATAAACTGTACTATGTGGTAGATCTGAATTTTGATTCAAGCAATCTGATTTTTTAAATGACATTTTAGGCCATTTTAAATTTGAACACTGATTAGATATGCATCAAACTAAAATAAGGGCAGAAGCAAGTGAGGCTGGAGTATGGGTATAGATGAAGATAAGATTAGTTGAATTTAAGATCACTGTTGAAATTAGAGAATGAACATTAAGTTTCATTTTATGATGCAACTCTACTTGAGTGTGTTTGAAAATTTTTCATAATAAAAACTAAGTGATATTAGTGGACTGAATGAACTAAAATACAAGCAATATAAAAAAACCCATGAGCTCATAATAAGACAAAATGAAAAGAAAGCAAGCAAAACAAAATACCCTAAAATCCCACTGGTCACTTTCAAGGAATATTATCATTATTCTGCAAATGAGAAAACAATCAAGCAGCTAATCCTGCCTTTTCATTACATACTACAATTGAAGCAGAGAGCTGATACGGCAAAGTTCCTCTTGGTAGAAAAAACTCCAGCTAACAAATGCAGAAGTTATGAATTTAAAAAATTAGAATATCACCATTTTGCAGCATTTAATAAAAGGGGTTTAAGCATCATCAATGGCTACTAAAACCATTAGGTTAAAGTTTGCTGAGGAACGTTATGGATGGATTAGACTAACAACAGCTGAAATACTATAATCAATCTCAACATGACAAAAAAATTGGATCACCAGATATTATGACTTTTGATCCAATGGAAATGAATGTGTATTTTACCAACTAGTTCTGAAAGTTTTTATGTCTAATCACTAGTTCATGGAAAATAAGAGAGAGAGAGAAACATGTAATCCAAACCCAGAATATGGAAATTCCACAACAGGAAAAATGGTCCAGTTTCTTCAACAAATAAATGACACAGAAGGAAAACAAAGGTGAGAGAGGGTGAGAAGAAACTATTACAGACTAAAATGCATGGACCTTGTCTGAATCCATGTTTGAACAAACCACTGTAAAACAAAACAAAGCAAAAAAACTATAAAAAACATTGTGGGCCAATCTGATAAATCTGTACATGGAATAGGATATTAGATGGCATTAGAGAGCTGCTGTCAACTCTGTTAGGTATAATGATGTTTCAAAAGAAAAGGCATGTATTAGTCACTATTGCAGAAATTCTGGTGGAAAGGACAGGATGAGATTTACATTAAAATACGCTAACAATTAGAAGACGAAGAGGTGTTGGTGGTGATGGAGATAATGAAACAGAGTTGATAAAACCTGTTGAGGCTAGGTGGATGGTTTCTCCCCTTTATATACATTTGAAAGTCTCAGCGAGCCACTGGCTCAAAATCCCAGCACTTTGGGAGGTCAAGGAGGGTGGATCACTTGAGGTCAGGAGTTCAAGACCAGCCTGGCCAACATGGTGAGGTAGAGATGGGGTGTCTCTACTGAAAAACACAAAAATCAGCTGGGCATGATGATGGGCACCTGTAATCTCGGCTACTTGGGAGGCAGAGGCAGGAAGGATTGGTTGAACCCGGGAGATGGAGTTTGCAGCCTGGGCAACAGAGTGAGAGTCCATGTCAAAAAAAAAAAAAAAGTCTCCATAATAAAAAGTCAAAAAAAGAAAAATGGGCGTGGAGGTTAAATTTATAATTCAAACAGACAGTATACTTCTTTGGTAGTCTAAAAATAGGCTGATGAGACAGCAGTCTCTGCCAGAGCAACCACATTACAAATTTTGTTTAGATTCTCTGGAAGGCCTGCCAAAGCCCATTTAATTAATAGTGTTGAATCAAAGGGGTGCTTTTTGACACTGTGGGTAGATCAATTCTTTGTGGAATGGGAACTATCTTGAACATTGCAGGACATTTCAATTCAGCATCACAGACTCAAGACACCCAAAGCCAACATCACCCACTGCAGTCACCATAACAACAGAAAGAGAAAACTTCCCATTTCCCCAAAATGCCCCTGGGAGCACTGAGGAACCAACTCTGGTTAAGAACTGCTTCATTAGACCACAGTAGTTGATTTATAATTTTTTAAAAAAAGAGAATAAAGAGGGCCACAAAAATATTAGTAAAGAATGAATTGGACAAAAAGGAATATTTTTACACTGTTGGTGGGAGTTCAACCATTATGGAAGACAGTGTGGCAATTCCTCAAGGATCTAGAGACAGAAATTCCATTTGACCCAGCAATCCCATATACCCAAAGGGTTATAAATCGTTCTATTATAAAGACACATGCACACGTATGTTTGTTGTGGCGCTGTTTACAATAGCAAAGACTTGGAACCAACCCAAACGCCCATCAATGAGAGACTGGACAAAGAATA